CTCTCTAACTACATCTTTTCCTGACCATACAAAACTTTCGCTTAATTTATTCATACACATGTTTTCTTTTTTTTTTTTAATGCACGTTTCTTGAATAAATACTTAATCAAACGTCTCTTTAAAATTTTTTGCACAAAGTTAACTTATAAAGCCAGATATATTTCAGAGTAAAATTTTAATCGAATTTCCCCTTCTTTGCCTATATCCAAATCTCACCAACAATTTTCTTGTTATTAGTGAACTTTATTTACTTAGTCTGCTTACCTCTTTCTTCGTGTTTCCAGTTTTCCCCTGCGTTCGTGCCAGTAGTACCATACTCCTTTTATTTCTATTTTCATGTTTTCTAGCTTTAATGACAGTCCATTTCTCGATTCCTCCTTCCCTGTACTGCTCAGACTATTTATTACCTCCTTTTCACTTTCAGTATCATTTTCTTCGCTGAAATCATTATTTTGTTTTTTATAGATTCTAGTTCCAGTAAAATTCTTATTCACGTATTTGCGTGTTTTTCCAAGTAATGTTCTGGATTTCTTGTTTCAAAAAATTTCCTATTTTTCTTGTTTCCTTAATCCAATTCTACAGTAGCAGTATAAGGTAAGTTTAAGAAACAGACAAAGCCTCAGTATTTGCACCACTATTTAGTTTAGAACTTGTTTTTTCTTTTTCTTGACTAAATTGACGAAGACCATTAATCAGATCTTTCAGTAGTTTTAGTACTTTCCCTTTAACTTCTTTATTTCATCTCCACTAAATCTTATCGTATTATTATTTTAACCTACATGTGATGTAAACTTTCTTTATTTTTACACAATAAAACATGCAATATAATCTTACTAGCTCTTTCCTACATGCCCTACACTCTTTGCAGTTGTATCCTTTGTTGCTTGCCCTTTCTACATTTCCATATTTGAACTTAGCACCTGCTGTGTTTTCATTGCTTTTAGTGACATGGCCTTTCAATAATTTTTTACTTCTGTTTATTTATTGTTGTGTAGTCTTGAAAATTACAACTTAATTCCATATCTTAATAAGGTATGATAAAATAGTAGTTTTCGTCGGATAAGTGCCATCGTCTCCGGGGCTATTTTGCGGCCCAAGGGACCTGCGAAGCAGGGCCCGAGGGACATAAGGTAGCCACGGAGCGATAGCGATTATGTGACGAATGCTATTTTTCCTACCGAGGGAACACCAGCTTCTCAAAAACGCCCGTGGTAGGAAAAATAATTTTTCTGATCGTGGGTAAATAAGACATTATAAATTTTGCTTGATTTTATCACTAGTATAATGAGCAATATTTGTGATAATATGAGCGCATAAATTCGATAATACATATGTATCAAAAATATTTCTTGTTACACTAGTAATAAAGTCACACAAAACTTTTAATATTTAATTTACCTAAAGTGGGAAAATGATTTAAGCTATGGTGGAGAAGCAGCTCAAAACTAATAAAGAAATCTATTTGAACCTACGTTGTATGTGAGTGCACGACTCCTCAGTAGCTCAAGTGGTAGAGAAATTATCAAGAAAACAGGATGTTGTGTGTTCAATCAAGACCCGGGAAGTATTTTTTCATTCTCACAAATAGATTACGATTCCTTTAAACTTACAATTATTGATGTTTCATGATTAGAGTAGAAAATTAATTGTCATCATAAAAGGATGTGAATGGACTGAGAGTGCTTAGAACAGTACCTTCATGTTGTGTAAGCCTATATATTTGATGTGACACACAAACAAATATGTGTGTGTGTGTGTGTATATATATATGTATATCACAAATATTGTTGGTTCAAGTGCATGTTACTCCTTAAACCATACACTCTATTTTTATGTCGTATATTAAAAAAAAATATGTTTCCGTTATTAAACATCATTCTCCTCCGTGTAATATTAATTAATAATCGCTTCAGAAATCCTAATTCATATAATAAGTGTTCATCAAATAATTATATATAAGTATGGCTAAGATGTCAATTATCGAAGACGAGAAAAGTTAGCAAACTTTTTTTATACTTTAGCAGTGTGGTATCGATATTGAATGATAAAAAAAATTTATCTGAACAAAGCATCCATGAAAAGCCGGTAAAATCAATTCAATAAAGATGCTAAAGGTGATGATGTTCAAATCTTTATTTACAAATAACTAATGAAAATTTTTTGCTTATGGCAACCTCAGAAACAATGTGAAAATAATTAAAGATCTAATTAGGAGCGGCGTTGGCTCAATGGTAAGCGTACTTGCTACTGGTACAACGCTGTTCTAGGGGTCGTGGGTTCGATTCCCGGTGAGTGCAGATTTTTTCAAAAACTGTTTTCACCGGAAAAAGTTCCTATGTGTCCCCGGCTGTTTGAGGGGCGGGTTTTTCCGTGGAATTTTCCTTCAGAGTAATTCTAGGGTTTCTTCCTTGCTCCACAGGTCTTCGGGCCAGGGTGAATGCGAAACAGTGCTAGGGCCTAATAGGTAGGGATTAGTGGGCCCGATGCCAGGCTGGGATCGCCGGCCTTACCGGCGAGGAGTGGCCCCTGAAACATAAGGGTTCTCCGGGGATGCTAATTAGCCTGGATCCGATGCTTCGGACCCAGGCTACACAGTGGCGAGTTGACCCGATGCACTTCCCCCCGGTGCAGAGAGTGTCAGCTTAACTGACAAGGTGTGTTACACCGGAGATACTTCCACTGTGCCCATGGTATGATATGTATGGTATCAATTAAAGAGAAGATTTAATGGGTGTGGCAATACACCCCCACACATAGGTGGTGAGTGGGTGGCCCCGGTGACTGGGCCAATAGGCTGTCGCGGTAACCCGATATAAAAAAAAAAAAAAAAAAAAAAAAAAATTAAAGATCTAATTATAGTTTATACAATACTAACAATGTTATAATAGTTACAAGCTGTGTACAATAAAAGAAGGTATATTTGCAATGTAATAGACATGAAAAATATACAAAAGCAGTAAAAAATGTTTACTACTATCCCTTGTTCTCTACTAATCTAATTGTCTATCTAATTATCTAATGTTCTCTTTTGTATTCTTCAATTAGTACATGAACTTAGTGACAAGAGTGACCTACATAACTTTTACTACAATTTTTACAATCAAACGTATAAATTTACACTGCTGATTTGAGTTTCAATCCGATTTCATACCTTTTTGCTTTTAGTCAGGGTAATTGAAATATTTTTTTTTTTAATTTTTGATGTGATAGGTTTTAAAATTCTTTTTTTTTATCAATAAAAGATTTTGTCCCCGAACAAAATAACAAAAATTTAGATGTATTATAGTGCCAATTTTTTAATTTATATTTATTATTTATTGTACTTGAGTTTGACCATTCAGTTATATTATTCTGACCATCAAATTATAATTTCTGCGAAATACTTTTTTTTTTATTCAGCAAATTTTGTACGAACGCACATGATATGGTATATACAAAATTTTTAGATCGCTGATAACGAATCTGGTAAAGAATTCAGAAATTAAAAAATTGGAGATTTAGTATGAGGAATTGCATATCAATAAAATGCTCAAGTTTCAGCGATAAACCATACTTGATGATTTGTAGGTTTGTTGACAACGCATTTATCATAAAAGTTTTTAGGAGTTAAAGGCTGTAATTTTAAAACGGCTTAAATGTTAAGGACGTTGTGTATGATGAAAATAAATTTTACATGTCCAAAGAATGCCATGAACTCTTTCGTTTTATGAGTATTTTGATGCATTTATTACAGTCTTATATTACGTGAATAAGAGTATGTAGTATTTTTTCTTTTTGGCTTATTTGGGACTATTTTTAGCTGTAATATCGATGATTTTAGTCTTTGACTGATGAAACTGTTGCAATCAACATTTTTTTCAAATTATTTGTCGAAGTCATTTATCAAACCCTTATCTATTTACAATTATGTTTGAAAATAATTTTTAAAGGTTTTTACCTGTATTTATTTTTTAATAAATACCAGTTGCAGCTCAGTGGCTACGCATTGTAATTTATCTTAATTATGTCTTTTCTTACCAGGCAGGTTTAAATGCCGGTTGGATCAACTTACAAATATAATATTTTTGAGAGTTTGTTCTGTATTTGTTTTCATTGTCGGTTTAGAATTTTAAGGCTACCTACAAGCAGATCATTTTGATAGCTCAAGTTATAGACCATTTTTACAACTAACGTTAGTTCTTATTAAAAATTTTTCAATGTAACGGTAGATTATTAAACGTGCAGCTTTTGCAAAAAGAAAATGCAGATTTGTGGCCTAGTACACAGTGTATACTTTTTATCATTTCTTGATTACATTTCTACTTTACTAGTTTTTAGCATGTAGTCAGTGTTCTTATAATAAAACGCACTAAATTAATCAATAGAATGTTAATTGAAAAGTGCTATGATTAATGTGTACTCGAATAAGAAATGTTTCATTTTTTAGTATTTTGTTATAATTTAAAACTATTTTTTAGGTCGTAAATAAGGTATTAATAAAAAGCTGTTATTCATGAGGACATAGTTGAGATATATTTTATACAGAAATATGAATTTTTTATACATTATAGTACCATATATCATTCGACTAGGTACACAAAAGTCCACTATTCAAGGTACTTGACACTTGTGAAAGGGAAAAGAGAGGGATGGGAAGCTGCCCATTACTGGCAGGGGATGAGGAAAAAATAGGAAATTTTTTTATGGAATGGTCGCCCATCCCATCCATAAAAAACATTGCGTGGTAAAAAATTCACAGAAGTACTGAAAGTACCCAAGGTAAACAAAAAAGTCGCCCGGGCGAGGTGTCGAACACCGATCTCTTGCGTGTCGATCAATAACCTAGCCGACTGAGCCACCGTGCGCTAATACAAACATAAAAATACATTTATACCTATTTCTTAATAAATTAATTTATTTATATACTTTTCTTCAAATGCTACACACTTTTAGTTTAGAAAAATTTTTTATTATTTGGCAAAGGTTAAAATAAAAACTTACGTTTTTTTACGAAATTTTAGGTCACCGTAGGTGATAAAATAAAGGAGCCAGAGTTTGTAAGAATTTTAATGACTGCGATTTTGGAAAGTTCAGTTGGTAAGTCAAAGTTTTTTATTCCACACTCATACGCTGTAACTTATGAATATAACTTTTTTCTGAATTGTTTTATGTATTTATAGAGCAGTGTAGTAATGAATGGATATTTAAAACGGAAAACTTTTATAAACTTCAAAAATTGATTCAGCGGTACGTAGATGCCGACGATTCTCTGGAACTTCAATGTCTTTTTGCCATTCAGGCTTACATTGATAAGTTACAACATCCATCAGGTAAGTCGTCTATTAAGATTTTAAGATCATTTTAAATAAATTGTGACAATTTAGTTCATATAAAGTAGTTTTTTTTACTATTAATAAAGCTTTTAGAGTCTTTAAAATTTGTAATGATTACTTAACCCAAACTCACGCCACTTTCAAACAGCATTACCTGTAGTATGCTGTAACGTAATATTATCAAAAAATAATTTTTTTTTTACCGGGTTACTGCGACAACCTATTAGCATAGTCACTGGGGCCACCCACCACTATCACCACGTGAAAGTGTAATGCCGCACCCATTTACCATACCTTTACTTGATACCGCACCTATCATACTATGGACACGGAGTGAGTATCTCTAGTGAAATATCTTGCCAGTTAAGCTGGCACTCTGCACCGATGGTGCATTGGGTCCACTCGCCACTCTGAAGTATATCCCCGCAGAAGACTCCGTATTTCAGGACGTCCTAAATAAAAATTCGCCTTGAAACAGCCGGTGAAAACAGTTTTTGAAAAAATCTGCACTCACCAGGAATCGAACCCAAGACCCCTAGAACGGCGTTGTATCAGTAAAAAGCACGATTATCACTGAGCCAACGCCACTCCTCACAAAGTAATTTATCAAAGAAGTTTTATTACTAAAGTTATTTTACATATGATTGCATGTGGATCTAAATATTCTAAATATTCTAAATATTCCGCAGGCTCATTATTCATCAAAACAACGCCTTACATATTTACTATATTTCTTAACATTTTTTAAATTGCAATAAAATTAGAAGGAGAAATATATCAAACCATCCAAGCCTAAAAAACGTTAACTTAAAAAAAAAAAGTTTGCTTCAGCAATAAATGGTAAACAAAACTACATATAGTTCGCTTGGAAATAAATTTTTTTACAGTATCTTAAGCACGCTAGCATGTAATAATTTTTATAGGTAAGCATATTATGAAAATTAATAATCGTTCGCTATAAATGTAGCACTTCAACTATGATACGATTATAAAAATTAAGATCCTTGTTAACAAGTTCAACGTTAATTCAATAAAAATTAATCGAAGGAATTATTTTAAAAATACATTAATTATCCTACAACTTACTTATATGTTATCTACGTTTTTTTTATTCAAAATCAAACAAGGCACACTTGGCAGGCCTTGCTTAAGGCACAAGAAATTGGCTCTGATGTAGCAGTTACCAATAAAGATCAGTAATTACTAAAAACTAAGGGCGTGGATAAAAATTTTTGTAAAAATAAGGGACTAGCAGTATATCCAATATCTGACCTTACAAACATAAGAAAAAGGTCCGTAAACAAAATTATAAATGTTATTAGCATCCTCCCCGCTTCGCACGAGACTCACTGAGTGAAAACACCGTCGTGTGTTAACACGTTATGGAAAACGTTTTCAGTTAAAAATTTCATGTATGTTTTAGTCATTTCACGAAATACATAATTCTAATAAAAAACATTTCGTTTAGAATTGATGCAGTTTTCGTCGAATAATAACCTACGTGGAAGTGAAAAAAATATAATGATGCTAAAGAGTACCGTGTCTTTACGTCATAAAATAGTTATTAGCTCTTAAGTATTGATTTGCTCTTTCTCGCGTTGTAATATATAAAAAGGTTTTTTTTAAGCTTTAAAGATTCAAGACTGATGAAAAATATAATTTTTAATAAGTTTTTCAATAAGTTTTAATTACTACTCAAAATACAAAACTTTAGTATATATAACATTTTTAATTTTATTACTAGACAAAATTCAAACAATCTGATGATCTGGATCACCAACTCTCAAAAGCCTGACATACGATTGTCCATGTGAAAAGCAGTTTGATCTTGAATCAACACCCACAAAATTATAAGTCTGTCCTTGCTACTTGTTAATTGTTATGACAAAAGAAACTTCACAAGAAAAAAGGTCGCTCCAAATTTCTTAAGATTTAAAGTATGGCCAAAAACCGAATTACTTTTTATTTAAATTTTTTTTCTCGATACGGTATGATTTTATAGACAGATAAATAATGTGTTTATGGAAATTGCAGCTTAAAATTTGAACTTTATAAGGTCACTCGTAATTTTTTAAATTTTACTTGAGCATTACTGTAGATATTTTTGAGCGACCTTTTGATATTTCCACTAGTAAAATAAAAAAAATTACCAGCGACCTTTTAAGATTCAAATTTTGAGCTACAATTTTTAGGAACTGATTATTTTTTGGTGTATAATATTATATCGTAACGAGAAAAAAAATTTAAAAAAAAAATTCGGTTTTTGACCATTGTTTGAATCTTATAAAAATTTGAGCGTCCTCTTAACCATTTTTGTTTGAGCTGTTCTTAAAGGGAGTTCTTAATACTTTAAAAACTAACATTTTTTCACTCGAGACTTAAAAAAATAAAAAAAAGATTTTTTTGTGCCAACCTAACGCTTATACTGAAAGGTTAATTAGTTGGTATCATCTAGATTCTAAGAATAAAAACTATTTTCTCGGGTACTAGATCTGTTAAAATAGATGCTTCTGTAACATTATTTCACAAAGTTGTAATTTTAAATCTAATCCTATTATACAGGTTTGGGAGTTTAAGATTATGTAGTAGCATAATCGGACATCCAACTTTCAAACTCAACTTACAAGGTAAAAATCCTTATGATTTGAGGAGTTTGAACATTCCTGAGGATAATCAGGAACACCATCAATTGCAATGACTGAATCAATAGAAAGGTACTCTCTAGAATCAACTGCAAACTTAGGAAGAATATTATTGTTAATTTCCTCTGCTGTAGCATTTTTTGGGGAAATTATAGTTCTTTTACGTAACCATTAGTATGGTTTGTTAGTTAAATTTTAATGTCTAAGTAAACTCAAGAAATTGTATCATCGACAGTTATAACTAGTTTTCCAATGAATTGATCTATGGTGATGAAACTGTCTTCATTTTCCATCGTGCCATTGCCAATTTTGAACAACTGTATTGGAAATTCTGTGCTGCCACCACAAAGATGTGCTCTTATATTTATTAGTGCTTGCCGAAACAAGACAAGACCAAGATTTTGGCCTAGTCTTATCTTGGTCTTGAAAAATTTTAAAAGTCTAAGTCTCATCTTGGTCTTGTCTTGAATTTCTTGGTCTTGGTCCAAAATGACAATGAAAATAGTATTTCTTATTTTGTATAATAAAAAGCATATTTTATTTTTATAATATATGTAATGTGTTATACATTACAATAATGTTAATAATATTAAATACAAGTAATTTTTGACATAATAATAAAAAAATCAATGTTTAATATAACATTTCTTAAACTGCATTTGGCCCAAGAGTGCAAACAAATCAAGGCTTGAAATGTATCATAGTTGAATGAATTCCTTTTTTTTGACATAATTAGAGCACATTGAGAAAAAGATGCTCCACCGATACAGAGGTTGCTTGAATACTGTATCTCGCGATTATTAACAATGTAGGATGTATACTCGCATAAACTTTCTACCACTCCAAAATGTTGACGTCTTTGGTAGCTTTTTTGGTTGAAAAATACTCGTTTATTTCTTTCCTCTAGGGCTCTGTTGGATCATCATCTTCTTCATTATCGCACTAGAAAGATTGTAAATCCGACTCCAAACTATTTCAATCCTTTTCAATCTTCTTTGTGTCGTTGGTATTTACAAAGTGATTCTTTTTTCATCGCTTTCCCCCAAGATGTCAAGTCAAAACGATAAAATTTACAACGCAGGTCTAAAATGATCGCAACACAATAAATATAATTACACTTATTATAACGTTTTAATAATTTTTCTCTTCCATCAATGAATGCATTTATCAATATCTCGCCAGTTGAACTATTTATTGCAAAATCCAATTTATCTAAAAGAAAATTAAACTCTACTGTAACAGATAGAAAATTAGCGCCATCTGTCGACAATACTTTAGATGAAACAGCTTTGGCCGCAATAGTCAAAAGTTTTCTGCTGACCGCAATTTTCAGAGCGCTTCTTTATTAGCGTCACTGCCGGACAAGCTGTGAACTATCGCTGATGTACACATATCTAAATATAGTTCACAGCTTAGCTGGTGGTGGCGCTAATAAAGAAGCCCTCTGAAGATTGTTGTTGGCAGCAAACTGTTGACCATCATGGCCAACGCTGGGATAAAATGGTGAATAACCTTAAAAAATCTATAAGTAGCTTTATGAAGTCCCATTCAGGTTCTGTAATTTTCAATTTTGCCGATGTAGAACAATTATCCCAAACTTTTGATACAGCAAATCTCATTTCCTATGGAACATTAAGCATATTTAATGTACTATCCCAGCGAGTCCGACAATCTAAAACTGGCTCTGTATACTTTGTTTCTGGGACGGTTAGCTGGCAGAACATTTTTAAAGTATTCCGCAGTTTCTGTGATGCCCTTATTTTCTTGCACGTAGATCTGATATTATTAATGAAATCAATAACACCTATTTGCTCATCTTCGTCTTCTTCACCTTCCTCCTATCATATTGTATCTTGAAGAATTTTTCCAAAGGGACATTTTTGCGTATTTAACACGTGTGATTATCTCCAGAAGAAGTAATGTGAGCTTAAAAGTAGGGTGAGCTGTTCTACCTCCACTTAAGAGAGTGGCAGCAATGAGAATATGCAACAGCAAAAGAAAGTTTTCCTGCAGATCTTGCTCTGCCCAACACAAGATTTATTAAGAATGTTCTTCTTGTGTCTCCAGGAGCATCTAGGAAAAAGATTTTTACACTATTATTTAAGACACTATCAATTATACAACCAAACACTTGCCGTTGATGAAATGAAGCAAACACTCAAGGATCATTTTTTCTATTATGTTAACCACGAATTTATTAAGTAAGTCCTCATTATATAGCAGGTAATTTATACTATTAATTCTCAACATAAATCTGTAAGGGTAGAACTGCATGCCATTTACTTACATGACATTTACCTGCAGAGGTACAGTGAGCATGAATAATCAATCGTAAGCTTTTAAGTTCATATACTG